TTTCATGCTTGTTCAGTTTTTATTTTCTATTTATACGCTTTCCTATATATAGATCTCAAATCACTTTCCATTTTTATGCAGCCCATAGTGAGATTTACATTAGCAAAAGCACTAGCTTAAACTGTCTGTGGAGTTTTATAAATGGATTTCTCAATATTCCCTGCAACAAAATATAAACAAAACAGAGTTCCTAATTATTGTTCCTCGCGAACACAGATGGAAACTAGACTTAAAGAAAAAGTAGTTTAAGTATTCTTAGTATCATTTCCTGTTTGCTTCCAACCCTTCAGTTGTGTGTCTGTTGTTGATATGGACTGTAACATCGTAACATCGGTGTATCTGAAAGCTCCAGCAGACCTTGAGCCTAGTTATATAGCTGACGTGCTAACACCCTAGAAATGGATGGAAGACAAGGAAAAATAGTTTTGGACATTTTCCCCATGTTTTCACAAAATTTGTAGGATTTCAAAAACTAAATAAATACTAATAGTTATTATCTTGTATTGTACATTTAATTTTATGGAAAATCAGTCCGTCCAAATGAGGTGACATCCTGGTATACGAGGGCTGATCAAAAGGTGTTGATACTGTTAGTGGTGTGCATGCAGGAGCACGTCACGGTCACACACATACAACATGAGTGAGCAGTGACGGTCAGAAAATGGGTCATGACATTGCACTGTTGACAGTAGGACCTGTGTTATACATGTTTTTGTGACCACTGATACCTACCAGTTTGCGATTTGACAGTGATGGCAGCTTATTTAAGGCAGGTAGAGATATTAATTTCTACAGAAGGCACAGTTTTGGAACCTTATTGATCAACCATCATAGAGCTGCACGACCAACTATTTTCATCATTAATTAGCCTGCTGAGTTTCCTACAGCACCAGGTGACACCCTCAGAATGTTTCATCCATCTAGTAGCTATACCTGCTTTACTCATGTATCCATAAACCAGCCTACACCACAAACAGATTTAATATGGAGTAGTAATAAAGGCAGCAACTCTTGGCACCTTTAAAGGTTGAATTTCAATTACCTACATTTGTTACTGTTCCTATTTTCATAGGAAAATGTCATCAACATGTCATTTTACAGTTACATTTTATCTTTAGCTTGTGGAATTCATTGCATTTCAGGATATCTCTTTGCAGAACATAATCTGTCATAAAATAATTTTTTGCAACTTTAGGGTTTCTGGTAAAGGGAAGCATTATATTTAAAGGACCCTTGGATGTTGGCAAGTAAATACAATGTTTAAATTAGATGGATATTTATCTACATTAGCTGACATAATTACTGCATTAAGATAGCTCGTCTTTTTTCTTGTCTTCTACTGAAGCTCACCCACAGGCATAAATGACAGCAGCTCTCTGTGACACTGATTGTGATGTACTGCAAAGTCTGGAGGAACACTTTATTAGATTACATAACAGGAGCTGGCATTATTGATATTACTCACCTTAAATGCCCCACTAATGACACTAAGCAAAAAAAAAAAAGAGGAACCATTAGTCTTAGGCAGAAAGATCATGAAGGAGTGGTGGAAATGAATCAAGGTGACTAAAATAAAGTGGTACTGACAGATGAGGGCAGGATATTATAGGATATATTACAAATATAAAGATATCTAGAAGAAATCTAGTCTAATAATAATGCCTCTAAGACTGACCCACCAAAATTAAATAATTGTGTGCTCCCTCACACTGGCAGTTACAGGTTTAAATATGTTGAAATTCCATCCATCCATTATCTATACACCGCTTAATCCTCAATAGGGTCAGAGTCTATCCTAGCCAACTTAGGGCGAAGGCAGGGGACACCTGGACAGGTCGCCAGTCTATCACAGGGCTACACTTACAGACAGACAACCAAGCACATTCACATTCACACCTACAGACAATTTAGAATCACAAATTGACCTCAACATGTTTTTGGACTTGTGGGAGGAAGGCGGAGAACCCGGAGAGAACCCACTCTGCATGGGGAGAAAGTGCAAACTCCACGCAGAAAGATCCCTGTCTGCAAATGTCAACTGAACTTTGAACAGTCAAAGTTGTAATGTAGGTTGAAGATGAAATTAAAAGCTGGAGTCTGGATGCTGTAAAAAGTTGTAAAGTGTTATACGTATGCAGGAAGGCTCACCAGATCTGTCATTCAACCAGCATTAGAATAACCTTTGATTAAATTCATTAGGATTCCTCAGCATTAAGTCCCACTGATGACTCACTGCAGTCTTCTTTTACTCCTGGTTAACTATTACCAGATAGCTGGTATCTGACTGTTCACAGTAGACTACGGCCATCGTTTAACCTCTGCAGCAGGAAATACATTATATCATAAGTGTGTGGGAAAATAAACTCACAGAATGGAAGGACACTGCAGATTTTTTTTTATTTATGTTTGCTGGTAATGTCAAATATCTGCTGTGGACACAACAGGATTGAGTAGAGAGGAACTTTCCAGAAACCTATGGTTTTCCAAGAAAAAAGTCCTAAATGAGAAAATCAATTGGCTGATCTTGTTTTCCACAAAGCAAACATGATTTTCATGGATTATATTGATTCTCTTACTCTGTCGCTGAAACCAAAGAAGCACCCAGTCATCCATATTGTGTGCTGTGTAGTCTGTTGGACTAGGTTTACACCAGGAGTTTATGAATTTCAGGACATTTTTCAATTCAATTCTATAAAAAAAAGAAGGTTTCCTAGACATAAATCCCTAGTGATACTGTAGTGTTTTATGTTTTATTGTCTTTTTATTTATGCACATGAAAGGACAAATATAATGAGCGTGTGAGGAATTTAAAACATTTTATGTTCTTTTCCATAAACTTCCCCTAGATTAGACATCATGGAATCACACATTATAAATTCTAAATCTTCTCTGGATTGGTCACCAGTGCTGACAGAAGAACATATATCAGTCGAATTAATCCATCCATCAAAAGAGTCAAACTAAATCAAAATGCTAAAATTGTCACTGGATGTAACAACAACCTTCCTTTAATGTTGACCATTTAAATCTGCCTTAATCTGTATTGTTATCTAGTGTTCATCCTCAAGGTAAACCCAGACATTCATTGAGGAGGATCAGTCTGCTGTTTTACTAAGAAACATGAGCACAGCGCGCGTGCGTGCGTGTGTGTGTGTGTGTGTGTGGGCAGGGGGAAGAATTTGAGAACCAGTGCAATCTGTTACAAACAGCTAAGAATGCCTTTCTGCTAACCTTAAGCTAGACGAGGACAACATCAAACATGGTGACAGCTGTAGCCTCAGAATTCTTAGAAGAAATGCACAATGAAAACAGGACTTAAAACTCATGGAGCAGAGGACTGAAACCAGAATAGTAAAAATAAATAATCAAATGACTAAAATGTGAACAAAGGTAACATACTGTAAATCAGGTGCCAAAGTTAATACTGTGCATCTGTGAAACAATCGTAACTAGAAAATTTCCTTGCAGAAAATTTGATAGTGCCACGGGAGTCTACCGGGACCTTTAAATGACTATTTTATAGTTAGCAAACCTACTAAAAACTTTGAATAACCTTAGCCTCAGCTGTGTGAAGGGCTGTTGCTGTGTGGAGGGAGCAGGAGGGGAGTGGGGGTTGGGAGTAGGGTTTAGAGCGTTGCCGGGCAACGAAGCACACAGCTGCAACTGATACTTGATTTAACTGTCAAATCAGTAGAAGAAACCAGAAGGAGAAGACCTCAAACAACTGTGATTTTCTTCAAAACTGTGTGTCAAAGAGAAAAGCACATTTTCAGAAAGCCAAGACCTTGGGCATTACAGAGATGTATTTTTTATTTTCCTAGAGTAAAAAATGAGCACACAATCATTTGAGAAGAAATGTGTAAATTTGTGGTCTTTGAGAAAACTCAGCAGCCATCTTTAAATGGGTGCAGATGGGGAAGGAAGAGAGACTTGTGGAGGAACAAGGCTCTAACCCCCCCCCCCCCAAACTTAATTCCGTGGGCTTCCAAAGTGACATTGTGAGTGGGAGGACAAATTTTCCGACATTTTGATGTAAAAATCATGTCTGTGGCATAAAAATTGTGGCCAGGGCGACAAGTTAAAAAAAAATTACTGTGTGAGATTTTTCTGAGCTCCCACTCTGGTGACGTCATCACTCACTCTAAAGGACCACATACACACCCATTGTAAAGGCTGAAAAGGGGTGAAGAAGTGTGAAAACTTGAGAGGTTGTCACGAAGAAACGATTAAAGATATGAAAAAAGTAGAAAGACTTTGAAACAGGCCGCGTCAACATTTTAAAGTTTAAATGGAGTCTCTAGGTGAAAGTATGCCTGAGTAGTGGAGGTTTGAAAAGTACCGTAATTTTGTGTGATTTTTTCGTCTGTCCCATTCATTTTCAATGGGAGATTTTTGCGACGTTTTTGCGAATTGTGTCGCGAAAAATGCGATTTTTGTAAATCTGTATGTAAGCACACGATTCCCGATCAAGCCGCACGTTTTGATGTATAATTTGTGTGGGTGCTCTGAAATTTGTGGGAGGAGTAGCCGACCGAAAATTTGTACGGAAGAGTCGAAATAATAAGAAAAAGCGCACCAGAATAACAACAGTGGCCTCGGGCTTTGCCCGAGGCCCTACTTTTACTCTGTACAAGTAGGGCCTCGTGCTCAGCCCGTGGCACTAATAAGAAGAAGATGCGCACCAGGATAACAATAGCGGCCTCGTGCTCAGCCCGTGGCACTAATAAAATCTGCATCTACCCTGTATTCAAGCTCTTTTTAAAGTCAGAGATTATCATTGTCTACAGACTTAAAAACACACATGCACACAGAACGGTAAAATTCTTGGTATTGTTTAAAGTGAAACTGTTCTCTACTTGCTCAATGACATGAGGGGGTTTTAAGCTGTGGATGGTTTTAAGCATCAATAAAACAGCATGAATACTAATTTAGTTTAAACAATTTAAATGTCTAAGTATAGAATGCTAATATATGGACACATGTGCACTGTGTATATCTACCTCTGTGCTCCACTGAGGGTTGACTGTGTTGCAGACCACTCCGGAGCGTTTCTCCTGGCCATGGTGCGGCAGGGACGGGAAGATGCTGTGCTTCCCAGGCTGGATGGAGAGCTTCAGGTATGGGTCGGGGTTGAAGAACATCCCTTTCTTCAGTCCAACTGCCTGGAGGTCTGAAAGACAGGTACATGAAAGAGTGAGAGGGTTCTGTGAAATGTGAAAGGAACAGATATATTTGTCTATTGACACTAACACAGGTTCAAACCAAAAGCAACACTGTCACATATTAGAATTTCCATTAGTGGCTTGCATTTGTAGGATTAATATCTACAATTCAGATGACCGCTCAGATAAAACTCCTAAAACTGGTCAAAGAGAGAAAAAGTTCATCTTGTCACTCAGTATTGCTGAATTTGAAGAAAGGTTGAATGAATAAGTGCTTAGCTTTAACTTGTTTGCATGTTTTATCCTTGCTATATTGTTACAGTATGTCAGGACTTTTAATGGTGGGGTTGACATGTTTCCTCTCTTGGAAACTTGTTTTCTATTCCAGTATCATTCAACCCTTATTTTTAGAGTCAGTATGTATACATCCCCACAAGACAAGATGTTTAAAAACACTCTGCGCTTTATATTTGTGTCTAATGGTTTTTTGTAAAAAAAAAAAAAAAAGGTTACATTTCCAGATTCCTGAAATGACACCTACTCCTTCATCATAAAATTCAGAGTCTATTCACAGTTATTGTGCCACTGTATTCCTGGGGACACTCAAAGCTTTATCACTGGTTACCCCTTGATCTATGCATTGACTGCAATTTCAATTTTATCACAGAAGTGTACCTACAGCTCTTCAACTCCGTGGCTTCATGAGGCCTAATATTCAAAAATGTGCAGCTTTCTCACGTGTGTCCAATCTAGATGGACTTCAATCAAGTTGAAGACATATCTCAAGCACGATGCACCTGACCAAAGTTTACAATGTCAAAGACTGAAGCTGGAATATGTTTGTAAATCAGCAATTTTACTTTTTATATTTTTAATATACTTGTAAACGTTATCATTATAAATGCACATTGAACTCGATCCATTTAAAATAAAATCTACAGCACAACAAGGCGTGTAAAAAGTAAAGGCTTCTGAATATTTTCTGAGATTTTAGTATTTCTGTGGGACACTTTTTTTCCCTGACCACAGAGTGCTTTTTAAATGTTTATGTTGGTAAATACTCCACTAAACAGGGCCAACATATCTGAGAACAGCATGAACAGTAACCGGAATGTTTCTTGGACTGACATTTCTCTTACAAAATGCAAAGCACTGCACTGACCAATACTGACTGTGGTAGGAAATGATAGTACAGTGACGATGAATGAATGAAACGTGAATATGGAGTTATGCTACTTTTCTATTTCAGTGTAGCCACTGTGTATTAGTGAATATTTATTGATAATGTTTATTGTACATCTGCTCCCAGGTGAAACAGCATTGATTTAAGCCTACCAGTGCTTTTAGAGTCATAACTTCTGCTTTAGACAGTGCCAGAGAGGGCTGCAGGTCGAGGACAGTAAGTGTGAATACACTGAGCTAAGATGTAAAAAAACAAAAACAAAAAACAAACAAGAAAAAAAAAACAAGCCATACGGAGCTAAATGGAAAACAAAAATACAGCTGTTGGTAGTTTACCTGACAGGGAAAAGTTAATGAGTCTCCTGTTGCCCAAACCATGGTTGACTTCAGGGCTAACCACTGGCTTTAATACCTGAAGATACAGACAGATATGATCAACATGAAAACATATTCAATCCTTGCAGGTCTTCTACACCTGCATCTTCTTTTCATTCCTGTAACAAGAACTTTAATGACAAGGTAAGAAGGCCACTGCAGCCAGAAAACAGTATGCAAGTAAATATTAATGTCAGAGGAACACTCAGAATAAATAATAAATGCATGTTTAGGAAAAGCCAAAACACCCAGTCTCATTTCAAGACAGTGTTTTTAAAGCTCCATTTTAAATTAGGCTGACAGCGTTCTGTGATCGATACTCTGTCTTCATGGTCCTGACATTGATTCTTCAGCCAGGAAGAGGAGGAGCATGGGGGGTGGGAGGGAAGAGGAGGAACCAGAGGAGAACGTAAATATGGCTGTGTTGTGTCAGCTTCACCAAGCAGTGGAAATAATTGTTTGATGTCTCTTAAACACTAAACCCAGTTATATGTGAGCAGGAAAAACATCATGGCAAAATTATGTTAGCCCCCTTTATAATGTGACTAAAACAAGTCTAAAGGGTACTGATTTATTATCTGCTCCACCAAACACCAAAAATTAAGAAATAACAAGAAAATGGGCCTATTTTTCCATGTCCATTGACATTAAAAATGAAATGGTAAAAAAATGGAACACAGCTATGCTTTAGTTTGTTGTAATCTCAGTCAAAACAGTGCATGTGAAATATATGTGTCAAATATGGCAGTTATGAATGAGGGGACTCTTAACGTTGTATGTTTTACTATATTTAAGGCATAGGTGAAACAGTTTCCACAATAACTTCAACTACCATTATTTCACTGTGTATCACCAGCTAACATTTGCTTAATCTGAAGCTACGTGCAACTAATTAATTTGCAAAGTGCCTCATTCTTCTCACAGTAAAGTTCTCACGCATTTCATTTTATGAAGGGAAGTTATAAAATGAAAAAGATCCCATTAAAAAACAAAAAAGATTTTCCTTTCGTTTCACCATTTGAATTTCAGAGATAATGGCCTTCGGAAGATGAAATTTGTTTGTTTTTATTTAAAACAGCAAAATCACACATTGTCCCATGTTCTTGTTATTTGCTTTTGGTATTTAATAAAAAAAACGAATTATGCTAGAGCAGGCTGACTGTACACAGTGGAGCTTTGAGCTAAATGCTAACATCAGTGAAGGTGGCTCGCGTTTAATTTGTGCTATACAATCGTAAACTTCATTTCCCTGTATTTTACATACATACTACAGTGACAATGTATGGGCCTATGTGGGTGGCATACCTCTTAACAGATGATGTTACGTTAACATATTAGAAGTGACAACGCTAACATTCTGATGCTAAACAGATACAATGTCGTTCAAGCTCACTATCTTCATTTTTGTCAACATTGGCTAATTACCACGAAACACAAAGTACAGCTTATTTACATATTTGGCCGATTCTGGTCTAATGATGGTACCAGATAAACAGTCAGTCATCAAGATGAATCCAATTCATGAACGCATGAAATTAAAGTTCCGAACATCAGAACATCAGAGAAAACTCCACATCTGCTTTATGAAATGTCTGCAGGCTGTCGATTTGTTCCATGTCCACACATTATTATTGTTCTTAAAATGGTTGCACATTCCAGGTAATCAACCATGAGCATAAAAAATGGCACAACAATCCTGTACTTGGACAGTAGTCATTAGTGCCAAGTACTGTCTGTGGAAAGCAGCATAAAGAATTAATAAGAATGCTATTACTTCTACTGTCGATAAATAAAGTCATAGTCATATAAAAAATAAAACCCTTATGACTCCCTGCTGGCCTGGGAGTGAGAGATGAGTCTTAGCTGGAGAAAGTTGCTAAGGACAGGGTTGAATTTGATGTTTTGCTGCACTTCTGCTTTTTGCTCCAGAGAAACGTGTGATGGATCTGTGCAGAGGATACAGAATCTGTGGAGGGTGACTGACAGACACACGCCAGTAGCACAAATGATATCACACAAGTAGACTGCAGTATTTATCATCTTGAAAGCATTTCATGGCAGTGTACCAAAAAATTAGCATATTTTAAACCATGCAGCATCATTTATCATCCAGAAAATCACTGGGCAGCTTCTACTCCTTCTGTCTGCCCAGAGCAGAATAAATATGAGAGACAGGTTTCCCTTGATGTTTCCTCTAGCACCAGCAGCAGCTTGACATTCTGATCAGCCTCAGCAGTCTGAACATGCTTATACACTAAACTATTCGGAACATGGCAATTAGTATGCCTCCCAAAAGTCAGCCAGACATTAAAGATCCCATATTGCAGCCAGTTTCAGAAAAATAGTCACACATGTTCTCAGAATGTGCCTTATTACTTTTTTTTTTTTTTTTTAACTCAAACCCAAATAAAGGTGGTTCATTTAATCATGACTGTATAACCCCTGGTTCTAACCCGATATTCGAAATGGGCTATTTGAGTGTCTGTAGCTTTGCATGCAGTTGAGTTGCTACTGTCCCTGCCCCCTTCAGGAAAAAAGATTCTCTGCTTATTTGACTGACAGCATGATAAATCATTTGACTAGGAGATATCTGAAAACTCCCAGTATGGCTATTGTTTTAAATTACCATATACTATAGTGAGTCTGTCTGACAACTAGGGCTGGACCCGAATATACGTATATTCGGTCATTGTGGTGCTATCCGGATAGCAATATTGATATTTGAGTATTTGGCCGCCCCACCACCAGTCCACCGAATATTCGGATCTTCGCCATTAAATGGGCCCGAATATCCGAATATCAGAAATTGCTATTTGGACCAGCCTTAATGTCAACACTATAAAATCTGTAGTTTACTTGTGAGTGGCAGCAGCTTAAACATGACTATGAAGTGACCGCCGGTTAACATGAGTTTAGGTTACACTCAACCTAACCAGACCTTGTTTATTGGTTTCGGGTTGGTTAAAGTTTCCACCATCTCTGAATGTTCATGGGTTGTAAGAATTAGTACAAATTATTGTTTCATTTCATCATAATCTGAGACACCTAACACTGTTAGACATAAAAGCTAATTTAGACATTCTCACTATGGTGAAAACCAGGCATGAATGTCGCATTTATATGACATGCATGGAAATGTAGATATTATTGTAAAAAAAAATTAGAGATGTTGTTAGAAGACATTTTTGTCAGACTGCCATGAGTCCCAATACTGCAGCAAATCATCACAATATTTTGTATGAATTCTGAGTGCTTACGCAGCTGGCTAGAGACAACAACAACAAAAAGTAAACTTGCAGTAAAAACAACCAGATAAAGGGATAAAGGGACTAGCAGATGTTTGGACCAATTCATTTTAATGAGATGCTAATCTTCCTTGCCGAGCACAGTCACGGAGAGAAGTGCCAGCGCAGGTCTCCTCAATGATTCTAATCTCACAAATAACTCAAACAACAACTTCATCCATCTGCAGCTTGCTTTATATAATCTACCACCCTGATGCAGGAAGCAGCTCAGGCGCTTTAAAAATAAAAAAGGAACAGTATGTACAATTTATGAGCATCCTTCAAGTGTTGCAAGAATCTTAAATGATGTAAGAGGAGAGCGATTTTACACAATAAAGGTCCTGTCCGCCCAACTGTGACGAGCCTGAAAGAGACAGCTTACATTTACAAAGTGGATCCACATCTGATTATAGGTCCAATATAAGAAGGTTCAGCCTCTGTGTGAGGCTTTAATACACCTCAGTGCCTTTTACGACAGAGGGGCTGAGTGATCTAACTCAGTTAATGTGGTTACACAGAGACAGGGTAGTCTCGAGGAAGTTATGTCAGCTCAGTGCTGAGAGTAGTTCTGATGGGGGAACTTTGTCAAACGCCATTATCTGATGTCAATCACTCAGAAGCGTTTAGGGGACTGGTGCTTGATGCTCCCCCACAGAGATAACCAGAAACTTGTTTGACAATGGCTCACACTGGGATATTAATATTTCTCATTAGACTGGACTGTATTATATCCATTTTTTATGTTCTGTATTTCGACCCCCAAGTTCAATTTTATGTCTCACATATTCAAAGTAAACCGAGTCATTCTTAAAGACCTCATTTTGTTTGGCAGCACCTATGGCTATATGTGATAATTGCAGGTGTGTTTATACTGATATATATGTGTGTGTGTGTGTGTGTGTGTTTGTGTGTGTGTTTGTGTGCATATACATTTAGGGCTGATGTCGATATTGATTATTGGCAATCGAGAAAGGCAGATAACTGATATCTAGAGCCGATATACATCAGAAATTATTTATTAACAGCATGTGATGGCAGGGAACCTGTCATTCATATCATTTATGCGGTTTATAATTTGGTTACTTCATTAATAATGATAACTGCAACTGAACATGTGCAAGAGAAATAGGAGTGATGATGTGAGAGTCATATGACATTGCAATGCTCCTCTGTTTACCCAAAGATTGATTGAGATCAACAACAGTTTGTCTCCTGCAATTCTGTCTGCTGTTCTTCTGTGTTTTCTTAGTCTTTATCTGTTCTTTTACATCACCCATAGGCTTCCTGAAGTTTTAAGGCTTAGTGTGACAGTCACCATTTTGGCAGCGCCTGAATCCTTCTAACTCCCACTTAATCCAAAAATAAGCAAAGAGACAGAGGGTAAGCGGAGCTGAGGCAGGTTATGCAAACGTCTCTGTGCTATGACTGGACTTTGATGGTCTGCACCTGTTACTCAAACATACTTATTCCAATTTAAACAGGTGAGTTATGCTAACTTTCACCTGCTGTACAGCTGTCATAAGCAGGGTAATTCGCTACTGCGACCAAAACAGTGTTCTGTAGCAGGCTGCAAACATTTTTATTTCCGTCTATGGAAACAGTGCAAACTTTCATGGGTACAATGCATAAGCAAATACCCAACCAACCAAGCACATGGGACAATCCAGGATTTGTGTATGAAGATATGCTACACGCATGCACAACCACTACAACTAGCTTAGACACACTGACAAAGAAATCATGAATACACTTCAACAATAACAAACATATACAAAATACCAAACTATTCCTTTAGTGTCCAAATCTGGCCAGTCAACCATTAGCAGTGGATTTTACTTTCCATGGTTTCTAGCCTCAGCTACCATGCTGGTCCAGTTTTAGCAGTTTGCCTGAAAGTCAGAGGAACAGACTTGCTAAGGTCTCCAGTTTGTTTCTTGTACTGGGGACACAAATCTGTGAAGGGACAGTGAAAAAGTGGCACTTGCACTTAGCCCCCAAGTGCACATCAGACTGTGCTTTCATCTGTGAATGTATGTAACTGTTTGAGTGTGACCATGGTGTTCCTGGAAGTCACCCAGCTTCTTGCTTAAATAAACGTTGATGAAATCCAAGAGCTTTAGTTTTAGTGATTATCCCTCTGTAGCAACTTGCTAAAATTTCACATTTTCAAGTTTCACACATAAAGAACACATTTATTTTGAAGGTACAGTTCAACATAAGAAATAAAATAGCAGGCTTTCTATACTTGAGTGTAATTAGAAGATAGATATCAGTGTTATATCTATGTGGAGCTGGAGTCTATGTGTGCTTAGCATAGCTTAGCATAAAAACTGGAAGCAAGGGGAAAACAGTGAGTTTGGCGTCAAGACTATTTGTGGTCATAAAGGATAAATTATGTCCTGCAAGACAAATTACTGTTTATTTGTTCAACGAGCACTTCTGCGCAGCATGTCTTGCTCAAGAGAGGGATACCAGAAAGCTAAAGACATTTGACTCTTCTGCTCTTGTTAGTGAATCTGGTAAATCAATTTGGTAATAAATCAAATTAATTCTTCATCTAAAGCTAGTTATATGCCACAATAAATGGAATATGACAGAATAAACTCCACACTCCAGCATAGCATTTTACAATAAATTACCTTTTAGAAAACTAGACATCTTATCTAATTCAGTTAATTAACACTACTGGTTTTTAACCCTTGCAATCTGGCGCATGTCTCTCAAGCTGTAGCAAATATATATATATAGAGATGACTGAAAGAAAAGTCATCGACAGTGTGAATATGTACAGTTACCCTGGCTATCCAGCTTAGCCTTGTCCTTCTCCCACTCCTCCATCCAGGGTGACTGGGAGACAGTAGTCCCAGCTGAAGACACAGGCTGTCCATCACACACATACAAAAGCAAACAGTGTCTTCTCTGTCTGCAGCATCTGACAGTTTCTGACAGGTTACCATAAGCACCAGTCAATGCAGACAAATCTCGCTTCACGTCTGTCCTGACTGTCCATCTGCCCTCTTTTTTTCCTCTCCTCCTCCCTTCTGCTTCCTTTGTTGTGTAAAGCTCCAGCAGTTTGACCCAGTGCATCCCACCTCTCGCCTTCAAAACTTGAATGAGTTACCTGGACCGCACTGATTTCTGCTCTCCTACTCACTCCCTCCCTCCCTGTCTTCCTTCCTATGGCGGTTATTTTTATTCCTTTGTCCTCAGGAAGCAAGCACAGATCAAGTTCTGGGCCCATCAGCATTTCCAGGGGCCCACAGCAGCAGAATAGGAAGGCAAACATGGAAATCCAATCGCCCAGCTGGTCACCCTCCTAATAAGAGGGGACGACTGATGCAGACTCCAGAAGGACAATGATGTGTGACATAAACTGATATGCAGTTTTTCTTACTGCTGGGCTAAAGACAAAGGATTTTTATGAGATCACTACCTGATTTACACTGACCTGTGCTTATGTAATAGCCAGGCACAATCTGGCAGCATCAGGGTTACACCTTAACAGAGTTACAGATAATGAGGCCCAGCCCTAGTTTCAAAGATGATGAAAGACTCAGGCCTTCAGGATCCACAGCTGCAAAGCCATGTACAAGTCACCAGGCTTGAATGAGAAAACTATACTTGCTTCTCTTACAGCAAAAGTTAAATGCTGTATTTTTGCATATTTTTACCAGATATAGTTAATCTATGAGCTATTTTTTGAGCATCTTGCCTGCTGATTGATGTAGTCTGTGCCTCTTTATTTATTTATTTACTTATTCATTCATTGTGTGTGTGTGTGTGTGTGTGTGTGTATGTGTGCGCTTTGTTTTTTGGGCAAAGGCACCATTAGAACTATGCCAAAAGTTTTTGTTTGCAGTGGAGGAATGAATTTACAGATATCACTGAATCACTTTGATGCAGAAGAAAACTTCCAAACTTTGTGATTCTCAGTCAAGTTCTGGAGTTACAGTATTTCTCTATGATTTTATAGAGAACTTATCTAAATGTATTCACAATTGACATTAGGGTACGCTTGCACAATATGTTGTTTCAGCCCTGTCATTGCAATGTGTACATGCACTACATTCACACTGCAGAAAAAATGAACTCAAACATATCATGTTACAATTTATTGCTTGATACAACAAGAAAAAAGTAAAACATATTTTTTCAACTTTAAAGAAAAAATGTTTTTAAATAATTTTGCCTGAAAATAGTTATTCAAGTCATCTGGTAAAAAACAAAATATCAAAATGTCCATCTGATTCAGTGTTGATAACTCTCTCCACAAATCAGGTGAATTTACAGACTAACACCACATTTTTCTATGATACTTTTTAAAAGTCAATTCAACAAACATACTGTGTTCCCAGTGTTATATGGCATTGCAAATAATCTTAGCTCCCTTAGTAGACACTTATTTTAGTGCAAACAGTGTGTGCTCTAGATTGTCCTAAATTTCTAAATTTCATTTTACATTCATGTTAGCAACACATATGCAGTTCCATTACAGAACTCCTACGTATAGTCCACTGCTCTTTTACACCCATGTGACACAGACACAAGGTGTTGAATGGAGGTAAAGCCTTAAAAGCTTGATTAAAAAAAATTACCCTTCATCTGTCAACACACTTGCACCTGTGTGATATTTCTCATCTCTCAGCACTGAAAGGACAACATATTGTCTTACTTTACATGTTACTTGTACATATATTTATTCCTCACACTTTTAGCTTTAAACGTAACTTCAACTTGACATGATGATTATAAGTGACAAAGTGGAATAAAATGTAATTATTAGTAAAACAGTCTCTCATCCAAACACAAAGATGACATATCAGATAAAGTTGGACTGAACTAGATCTCAACTAAACTACTTAAGCACAGAGCTTATTCGTCTGGTGTTTTTGGAAGTTACCAACAGCTCCAAGTGTATTACCACTTCCTTCTGGACTGCAGGAGGGCTGACCAGGATTCACATGTAGCCGGAAAAACAAAGATTCCATTGTAATCACATTTATAATCTGTGACTTTTAAACTTTTTCCTTTTTTAAAAATATTTTTTCTTGAGCTTTTTAGCCTTTGTTATAGTTGAAAGTGGAGAGAGACAGCAAATATGAGGAGAAGAGTGGGGGAAGGACCTGCAGTAAATGGTCATGGGCTAGACTCAAACCCACAACCTCTGCGTCGGGGACTACGGCCCCTGTTAATGGGTTGCCCGCTGAACCAGTTGAGCTACCGGGGTGCCCGCAATGTAATCTATTCAATTTGATTACACAATTACTACCATTGAGTATGTATATATGCATATGATCAGCATCAATATCACCGTTGATTCTCTGAATTGCACTGTCACTTTATGAAGTCAGGGCTGCACAGTGGCTCAGGTGTTAGCTCTGTCGCTTCACAGCTAGAAGTTCCCCGGTTCGCTTCTAGGTTAGGACGCCTGGGGCCTTTCTGTGTGGAGTTTGCACGTTTTCCTGTGCAGGGTGGGTCCTCAACACAAGAGGCTCAGTCAGCCCAAGAACATGCTTTGGTTAATTGGTTTCTAAATTTTCCGTAGGTATGGATGTGAGTGTGCTTGTTGGTCTCTAAGTGTTGCCCTACGATAGACTGGCAACCTGTACAGGGTAGACTCCAGCCTTTCTGTGACTCTTTGTGTTGTCATTTATGGTTTGTTTGAGTAGCTTGTCCCCTTACTGTAACTCATATTGCTCACATGCCTTTTTGTTGTAGTTAATCTCAGTGGCGGAACTCTGCTTTAAATACACCAAGTCGCTACCCGTGACCTCTCTCACAACCTCACAAGTCATCCAGTGTCGAAAATGAGAGTGGTCGTGGACAAAATGTGAAGACAAACATGATTAAAACGGGAGTTGAAGGAGCGTCTGCAGGTCAGGAAACAAGAGGAAGAACAGACAGAGAGAGAGAGAGCGAGACTTCGCGGGAGCTTATATTCGCACCCCTTGGAAGCAGTAGCGAGGTACTGGTGCAGCGTGTATGAGTTGCTCACCTGTTCTTTCATTTACTTAAGGGAGATTTCGTTTGTTTGTTTGTTTACTTTAATGCAATTTACTTAAATTTAGGGCAGTTGGTTGTGTGTGTCATATCGCTGAATGTGATTTAAATATTTTGTAACACCCTTTGAGTTTCATTATGTATCTAAATGATGTATTTAGTTTAGTTGTATTATGTAATTTGGTGATTACTATGAATATTAATTAAAATGTTTTGTGTCCTTTTTAGTTTCACGGTGTGTCGAAGAAATAAATAAAAGGCCGTGGTACAACAGTCGGGACTCCAATCGTATGTCTCCATGCCAGGAGGCTGCCACAATAGATGTAGCTGCATCTTGTAACCTTGCAAGTCTGACTGACATGGCTAACTGAAGCAAGCTGTCATAAAGAAGCTGACCTGCCATTCCCAGTCAGATACCAGATATAGAGTCACCAATGAAAACCCAGAAAGCTTCATGAGTTAAAATACATGCATGTGGAGCTGTAGGACTCACAGGTGCAGGGCCCTTCTTGATGGTTACACTGGGTGTGGTTGCCCTCAGCGCTCCAGTGACACCATGGTAGTACCTGAAGCAGACCTGGGTCTCAGCTGTGGAGGAGACACAGGATAGAAATGATCATGGAGAGAAAATTAAGCAGCATTTTTTTTCCATTCACCAATTGACTCTTGCTCTGTGTTGTATTTTCTCTACCTGGATTTTGAAATATGACACACAACAAAAATGTAACAATTGCTAGTGATGATTGTACAAAATTGGTGATGATGAATTTCTAAACACCATCCTGCCACCCATGTTCTGATGTGTCCCTAGTTGCTTTTCAAGGACTTACTGAAAATTAGAAATTATTCACAGCCATTTATTTATGCGGCTGTATAATACAGTGTTTACTCTACAATTATTTAGGAGTGGTGGGCTGCCAGTGGTGGTTAATATGACTTTAATAACTGGTGAGTACTAAGGTAAACTACAGATAACTATCTTGCTCAGTATCTACTCTTTGGGGGGTTATTACAATGTTAATTACTCGTGAAACGCAGCCTTGAAAGTGACGTCATGTCCAGCACCAGGCTCCATGTCAGAGAGTCAGAGAATGGTCGTCTTGGAAAATAGGGCAGCGACTTACTGGAGGAAAGGTAGACTTATCAGCTTAAGATGACTCAGAATAGATTTTACAAGTTAAATAGACATTTGCAAAATATTGAAAATATTGATATTGACGTATCGGTAACTTAAGTTAATTGGGACTGATGCCAACTCAATGTTGCAAACTTAGTAAACTAGCTGTTAGCATTAAGCTAATATCTACACGCCATGATGTAACTGCTGACTGCATCTTCAGATGAGCTTGTTCAAATATTTCTCTAAGAAGAGAAAGGCACCTGATGAAGATGACACTAGTCATGTGTCATTAGCCTTTTACTGTCTCATAAATGATGACGGTTCGGTAAAAAATAGTGTTCACACTTGTAATCAGATGTGATGTGAGTGTAAATGATCTAACGTTAATGTTTTCTGTAATCTTATAAGACAAGTAACTTTAGACGGGGAGGAGCAGTGGAACAAAGTGAAGGAGAGCAGAGTACAGCAGGAGAGCCGAGTGGAGGAGCAGGAGTGAGTAGAGGAGGAGAACCAAAAAGGAAGCAGACTATCAGGCTGGGACTCTGAATGGGTTGAAAGAAATAGCCAGTTCCACTCATGGCTCTACCACACTGATGATGGTGAGTGTCCATGAACCTTTTTTTCCTTACTTATTTTCTTGCATAATATACAAGTCAATATTTATAAAGAAACAATTTTTAAGTAATTAGGGTGTAGGAAATTGAGAGAAACAATGTCATTATTGTTGCTATTTGTAGGTGAAGACTGACTAGAGAAACAGGCTGCAGGGGGATCAGCTTGCAGCATGTATGCTGCTGAGCATCAGCGGCCACCTGTAATATTACATAAAACCAAAAATGTAAAATAACATTTTTACCATAAAATTACTGGTTTAGAGATAAGTAAAAACATTTTCGTTCAACTCTACTAAAATTACAACATTTGTAAAATAATCAGTGACAGCTGAAAGGTGACACTAATCACTTCTGGACTCTATTGAAAAATTGGGAAACCAGGGCAAAAAAGCAAAAGGCTTGGGGGACACGAGCAGATTAAGGTCATAGTAAAGCTCCATGTTTTTCTGCTTGGTGGGCCGGACTCACCCAGATGCTTTGACAAGAAAAGGAGAAACACACAGCTGACTGAATGTTTGTTGAATATGCCATTGCCAGCATATGGCTTCCATAAAACAAAGAGGACACAAATATACTAGTTCTTTCTACATTTACAGTATGAAACCAGTTCTCAGTTTCAGAACACACAGAGGAGTACACAGAAAATACTAGAAAGGCTTGGGGATCTTGTTTAACTTTAGTGGGAAAAAAAAGCAGAATACCTAAAAATACATAATATCCATTGTAGAAACTGATGGTAAGAAGCAAGAAGATGGTGCTCAAGCAGAGAGATTCTGAGAGATGAGATGTGCTGTGGATGTTTTCATCTTTGACAAATAACAGGTAATTTTTGAGAATGAACTTGTGTGTATGTACAGAAGACCAGGGGCATAAAACAATTCCCTAAAATGGTACACTTTTTTGTAACAGGCCCATTGCAGCTGTGCTACAGTGATGATTCTGTCAGAATAAACAATTTGTGTCTCAAAGTCAATGTACATAACAGCCATCCTTAACGAGAATGCACTAAAACATGGTCTACAGCTCCATGGGAGACACAAATGATACAGCGGGGAAAATAAGTATTGAACACGTCAACATTTCTCTCAAAAAACATATTTCTAATCGAGCTATTGACATGAAATTTTCACCAGATGTCGGCATCAACCCAAGTAATGCACACATACAAAGAAATCCAAACATTTATGTCCATAAATTAAGTTATGTGTAATAAAGTGAAATGGCACAGGGAATAAATATTGAACACATGAAGAAAAGGAGGGGTAAAAAGGTCTGGCAAGCCAAGAAAGCAGCTGGAGTTTGTCAGTATTCAGAAAGTTAACCTGTCCCCTATTAGTTGAAAGTAATATCAGCTGGTTTAGTCCTGATTGATGCCTTTTAAAAAGGTTTCTCACCAGCAAGGTGTTAGACAAGAAGCATTGCATGATGGGTAAAAGCAAAGAGCTGTCCAAAGACCTACGCAACCTTATTGTTGCAAAACACACTGAAGGCATTGGTTACAGGCGCATTTCTAAACTTCTGAAAGTTCCAGTGAGTACCACTGGGGCCATCATCCGAAAGTGGAAAGAACACGGCATTACCATAAACCAGCCACGGCCAGGTGCTCCTCGCAAGATTTCAGACAGAGGAGTCAAAACAATCATCAGAAGGGTTCTCCAACAGCCCAGGACCACTCGTGGAGAGCTTCAGAAAGACCTGGAATCAGCAGGTACCGTTGTTTCAAAGAAAACAATAAGTAATGCACTCCAC